CTACTCCCTAACCATATCAGATAGTTACCAGGGTACGTTCCGGTATACCAGACCATACCCAAGGTAAGTTCCGGCAGTACCCTGGGGGACATAGACCCTATTAGATACAATAATTAATGTAACCCAAACATAGGATAGGGTAACAACGCGAGTGTATCCTTTTGTGTGGAAGAACCCCTGAGTGAATCACTCAGGGCGGTTTGCTGGTGCGTTTTCAGAGACTAGAACTTTCAAACTGAGTTTATTCTCAACACGAACTTTTCTCCGCTATCCTGGAACTTAATATTTATCACAATACTCTGTATTAAACTAATATAACCTGTTACAAAAATTCGAAGTGACGAGCGGCAGATATTTCGAGCGCCATTTCTGTTGACCTGTGACGTACGCATTCCTAATCCGCATAGCGTTCGGCTAACTTCGACTCCAAGATCAAATGTATCATGGATGCCTGATGTCAGTCGTGACGTCATGACGAAGTTAGCCGAACGCTATGCGCATAGGGAATGCGTACGCCACAGGTCAACAGAAATGGCGCTCGAAATATCCGCCGCTCGTCACTTCTAATTTTTGTAACAGGTTATATTAGTTTAATACAGAGTATTGTGATACATAGTAAGTTCCAGGATAGCGGAGAAAAGTTCGTGTTGAGAATAAACTCAGTTTGGAAGTTGTAGTCTCTGAAAACGCACCAGCATTCAGCAAACCGCCCTGAGTGATTCACTCAGGGGTTCCTCCACACAAAAGGATACACTCGCGTTGTAACCCTATCCTGTGTTGGGGTTACATTAATTGTTTCTAAGACACTATGAGCCCAAGTATGGGGTACCCAAGTTCTTTCCTATTAAGTCTGATGCCAGCACGCTATAAATTTACAATACTACTTTCTATAAAAGGAAGGTAGGGCAGGTAACATGTACAGAAACAATTCAAGCCAGCGAGCACGTTGACTAGACCAATAAATTGTTCCCAAAATTTTTTTATATTCCGATGTTATTTTAGGGCCCAATAGCCTTCCATAGACAAAACCTGTGAATTCTGTCGTGCAAAATGCACGACAACCTTTTCACTATTTACGGCCATGTTACATAGAAAATCTCACAAATACCTAAAGCCATTGCTTTATTAAAGCGATCATTGCGAGTTTTTTTCAGCGTTTTTTAGTGTTTAATCTCACTCTCATGATGCCTACCGTTGTTGCTTGAGTAACAGTAATTGTTTGAAATAACAATAAAATGTCTTAGAACCGCATGCAAAGACAAAATCATGCACGATTACAATTTTGCGTTCTCTTGTTGATTTTCGCGGTACCGCGAGACGCCAACAAGGGTACAGTAATGCAAAAATCGCACCAGAGATATTTTTGGTCAGATGTAAACACAGAGGTGCATATAGTAGCGTAACATAAACAAGAGTGTAAGTTGTAACCTCATAAATATTAGTCTTCAAAAGTCCTAGGGACTATAACGAAGACGGAGAAAGAAGTGGATCAAATCCTCGTTGCGTACCGCCAGCGAGAATACTCATCAGACACAAATAGATGCCCCTTTGTTTTAATCATGTTCGCTTGTTTGAGACGCCATTTGTGATTATTGAAAGTCCTGACTCGAAAAAATTTATTGCTGGTATGATGTGGTCAAATCAATTTTTCTATGCTATAACTGCATAAAATATTGGTATTTTGAATGTTGGTGTAATCAGTGATATTTTCGCTGTCATGTGAGACTATATTCAGCTATATTTCATTTTTCTAAGCAAAATTCTCGCAATGATCGTTTTAACATCTCACCTACATTACAAAACACTTGTCATGCAGTATTCTCCTCTTTAATCACGTTTATTTTATTAAAACATCACAACATAAAAATCACGCGAACTTCGCTACACACAATACTGCCAATCTTGCATTGAACCGCATCGGACAGCGTCACAGCGATGATTTCATTGGCCGGTCAGAAATGTCGTTGTGCGGTTAGCGGTATACCGGAACGTACCTTGGTAACCATCTCAGTATCTGATTTGGTTAGGGTTAGGGTTAGGGAGTATGCGACTCCCTAGACTCGTTAGTGGAGTAGGCGAAGTACGTTCCAGCATATTATTATTAGATAGTACCAGGGTACGTTCCGTCAGTACCCCATTTACATTGTGACACAATTTATTGGTCTAGTTGACAACGTGCAACTCGAACTGTGCAGTGTGCCTAGCCTACACAGGAATGTCACGAGGGTTTGTTATCAGATCAAAACTAGACAATATTTCTTAAACTACAATGAACTATTCTCGTATTATCGTTCTAATGATAGACTCTGTTGCCACATTTTACAAAATGAGAAAAAATATAAACCCAAGGTAAGGCAGTATTAGCGAAATTTGAAAAAATTTCACCAGAAACATCCGTATACACACCATTTTCTTGTACCGCACACCGGAAAAGAAGGAACTACACCGGAACTAGAAATATCATTCCGCCACGATACAGTTTTTTGGATGATTAATTTAAAATAGCACGACTTGCAATTTTTAACGATAATTAGATAGTACATTTTACATATTGAGACTAAATATAAACATAATTAAAATATTATATTTGTACATACCGAAAGCTTGCACTATTTAACTTGCCGAAGTACACTGCTTCTTGCGTCCCCATAACAGTACCGCAGTGAAAGCAGTGATTGGAAAATGTATTATTAAATAAATAAATGTGATTCTTGACATCCAGTATTACTAGTAATTCTAATAATAATAATAGTGGTATTTTTATTTTTAAATAGGATTAATTTGGTAAAGACAATTGTCTACGTTTTGGTTTTCGGAATAGCAAACGTGCACTGCGCGTGATAATTCCATCCATTATTCTATATGATTACATCCATACTCATAGAAATAAATATATACTTATATAACTTAAGTATATTATATAGGTATATATCTATTTTAATGGTTAAATCTAAGCTTGACGGCCATTACCTGACTGCCATACACGCGTACACACCCGGCACGCGCGACCCATGCACGTAGTCAAGTGGTAGGCCAGCAATTGATAACAGGGGGCCAACGCGGGCACGGGGACGCGAAGCGACCGAGGGGTAGGTGTGGAGGTACCCCCCTCACGTAGGGAGATTTTAAAATTCGTGCGATGAAAAATGGCATTTTCTGCAAACACATAAAAATTCAGTATTGGGTAACTATATGAGAATGCATATGCTAATCCGCTATAACCCCCCTCGCCTCGTTTTTATTTTTGTCGCACTCGATCCGATATGTGGGACAGGTTACACCACGACCAGTTGTGTGGACCACTTAGCTTAAGACGCAGTGAAATGTGTACGAAGCAGTGTTTTTCAGCGGAGGGAAGAAAGAGTTTTAAGCGACCAAAGACAGTGCATAAAGCTATTCTCAACGGGGAGGG